ATTGTTCAACAAACAGAATTGAATCAACTGTGCAGTCATCTGTAGAAAAACTACATTGAAGCCAAACCTCATACTGTACACCAGGATGAATTCAAACGGATCAAAGATACAAATGTAAAAAAAGGGAAACTATTACATTAAAGTAACAGATTAAAACATTTTTCTGCAGGTTAGAATCTTTTATAAGATATTTACCAGGTAGATGCACAGAACCGTTAAAATTATAAATCAACTTTAAAGCCAGAAGTTCAGTGAAAAACTTGGGCAGGCAGAGGAGAAAATACACAAGAGTAAATGATTAGCCAAGCCTACATTAGATGAGCCAAACCTTTCTCTTTAGTTCAGTAGCCCCTTATTTCTTTTGTCTCAAAAGTACGATACAAAAATATTTATTTTTAAGACATGCATTAGTTTCCTTGAGCTGCGATACAACGTGTCAGAAACTGGGTGGCTTTGAAATGTATCGTCTCACAGTCCTGCAGGCTGGAAGTCTGAAACCAAGGTGTGGCAGAGCCGGGCACTCCCTAAGCGTCCTCAGGGAGAGTCCATTCTCGCCTTTTGTGACTCCCAGTGTTGACTGGCGAACCTTGAGTCCTTGGCTTGTGGATTTACCACTCCTGTCACACGACCATCTTCTCCCTGTGTCTCCTCACATCATCATCCCCCTGCGCACATCTGTCTCTGTGTCTAAATTTCCCCTTTAGTAAGAACTTCAGTCCTTACTGGATCAGGGCTTGTGCTAACGACCCCATTTGAACTTGATTCACTTTATAAAGACCCTACTTCCAAGCAAGAAAGCATTCTGAAGTACTGGGGATTAGGATTTCCACTTATCTTTTTGAAGGGATACAAATTAACCCATAATACACTTCAGTGGTAATACATTTTTCTAGCACATAAACCATCAACCACATAAACCAAACTGACATTCTCCATGCTAAACCCCACTGGGAGTAGCAGAGCCACAGGCTGACACTCCCCACAGGGTGGCCGGGAGACACTCGGCACCAGAAGTCCATTGTGCTCAGGATAAACACACAGATTCTGAGGCCCTGACCCAGACTCACTGAAACAGAACTCTGAGGAGCAAACAGGCCCAAATGAGGCATTTTTCTCAAAAACTCTCAAAATGCAAAAAGGATTTTTAAAGGCTTAATAGCATCCAGGCCAACAAGCATCTATGGGGCTTCAAAGTTTCAGTGAGGGAAAAGTCAAGTAAGCAGCTGTTTTCCTTGGGTTTCAATCAGAGCTTCCACGCGAGCAGCGGAGAGCCGGACAGGTGACTTGCAAGAGGAGTACTCAAAGGCAGCCGTGCACTGCCGGCCCAGAGGGGCTGCCGCCGAGCATGCTGGGGTGATTCTAGCCCAGTCCCAAGGCTCTCATTATACAATGATTGCAAAATCTAAACTTCAGATTGCCCTTGAACATACGCTTGTCACCTCTGCAGGATGTCACCCATACCTCTGTGTCACATTATGTTTCATCACCATGCCATGACAAAGCAGTATGAAATACCATAACAACCCGAGAGCAGGGTCCACTGGTCTGATTACAGGTTGGGAAGCAGAGTACTGGGTAGCCCTGCCAAAGTCTCTGGAATCTTCAGGTAGCTTCCAGAACAAAATTTGTTCCTTGAAGATGCTTCCAATTCTCAGATTGAGGTATTGTGCCCCTTCCTGCCCTCTTGTCCCTACCCACTTCAAGTTTTCAATGACACTAAGTGAAACTCACTTGCCTATAGACAACTGATGTCTATCAAAGTCCTCGGAGCCCATGTCTGCACATTCCTCTGGATGTCTCCCTGTCCCTCACAAAAGAAAGGCTGTACAGAAACTTCTGAGAAGCCCAAGCATGGGACTGGTGGGAGGCATGTCTACAAAAAGTAGATCCTCTACACCTGAGGCTAAAACTGAGCAAGGAGGAAACTCGAAGTAAAATGGAAAGGAGTTAGGGCTCAGAAGAAAGAGGGACTCCTTTAGTGTTGAGTCTAGAAAGACCCAGCAGGGAAGGGGAAGGAGAAAGCTCCCCTAATTTGCCACTAAAAGGATGAGGAAGGTAAGAATAGGTAAGGCGGGATGTACCACCTTTCTTTTCTTCCTCTTCCTGGGCCAGCATGTTCAGTGTACCCTCCCAGTTCTGTGCCCAGTGGTTGAAGAGGTTGTCACACTTCTAGCTATCAGTATTCAAAAGGCAATAAAAAGCCCAGGGATAGATATCTATACAAATATTCATTAAATATATAGAACTAGAGCGTAAATTTGAAGTATAAAATTGCTTTTGAGATATATAAAATTATGGTGACTCTTGGAAAAGCCTTAATTTTTAATAAAGCAGAAGGATAGTTTGGTGATGTAATTCAAGCTTCTGGGATATAAAATCAGATGTGCTTCATTAACACTGGAACTAAGAATCAACCACTCAATGATGCAATTGGGTGTGATGCAGAAATCAAAGGCACAACAGCTTTTGCAGTCATATTTTCTCCTTTTTGACCTTCAGCTAAATGATATTACATTTATTGACCCATTTCACCATGTGTAGGATAATTGTAAATTAAGATTTAATAATATAATTCTTTTAAAACTAAATCTCTACCCATGGATAAACTATAAAATATCTATTAAAGATGAATAAATTTCAGAACAAGATAAAGAGAAATGCCTCTTCTATAGCTAGATATCGAAAAGCAAATATATAGCATGTGTTATAAAAAAGCATCCCTTGTCAGAGCTCAGTTAGTAGGTTTTTATCATTCTTGTCACTGCTGTTGTTTTTAAATTGCAAAGAGAACAAATTAATTTCTTGATGTCATCTTTAGCCAGGTCTTTACAGATTAGAACTTGACTATCACACTTGTATGATGCATTTTATCCTAATGCTCTTCAGATCTTAATTCCGAATAGAGAGCTAAGTCATGTCAAAAATTATTCCCTAGATGTTAAGAGAAAGGAAAATTCAACTATAATCATCAACATTTGAAAATTATGACAATATTCTATTAGTTATTAAAAAAAAACTTTGATCAACTAAAATGGTCCAAAGTGTTGATTATTTTTGTTAATATTCATCATTCAAAAAGAAGTCAATTCACAATTTCTGTTATATTGATAGCCATTCTGAGGATTATCCAAATGTCGCACGCAGGTTTTTGTATCACATAGTTAATTCCATGTACTTCTAGAACTGGCTTCCTTGCTATTCTTCTTACTATTGATATTATCTATTTCCTCTTTTTAAATTATTATTATTATTATTCTCAAACTATGACCACATAAATGTAACATTGTCTATATTAGATTTTCAGTGTGGGCTATTTTTTTAAATGACAGATGGTATTTGGATACATAAAAGATATAAACACTTTTCAAAATGTAGCTTTGTCAATTTTCCTGAAAAGCCTGACAACCATCTTAAGTTTTTCCAGAAGACTTTTTTCTTCCCTCATTCTTAATCTTTTTTGAACCAACGATTATTTCTATTCTGCTCGGTCAGGCAAGTAGACTTTTGATTTACAACAGCTGTATGCCAATGGTACATACACACATATATATATATATATATATATATATAATTTCATTTTTGCCTTTATAATTATTTTTTAAAAAATGATCAAGTAACATGATAGAGTATGGCCCAAGAATTTTGAAATCATACAGGTCTTTTAAACTAACATAATGAAGTTATAGAGTGGTTTTGCTACACATCTTGTTACAAAAATTAGGTTAATTCTGGCTTTATCAATGGATAGCTAGGCATAGGCATAATATTTTCCTTCCTTGGTTTCTCCATTTTAATCCTGAATTCAGAATATTATTGCCATGAATTCTTCATCCAATGGTAATGTATCTGAGCTTAATTCCAGTTGTTTCAAATGCTCTTCAAAATTTTGTAATTACAAAAATGTCATGATGGGAATCTCCTGATAAGTATGAAAAATATATACTTGAGTTCAGCAGTGCTCTGGAACTAATATTACCAAGATTAAATGAGGAAAAATATATGCTTATAAGCACAATGAAACTTAAAAGCAACAAAGAGTTGGCCCTCAGGGATATGACTATTCCTTTTTTTTTTTCATTATTTCTCTTTTCCTCAAGTATAAAAACAAGGCAATAACAAATATAAAGACAAAGAAAAAACCTATAGCCACATTACATTCAGATTCCAATATTCACTTATAATATATCTGCTTCACATATGAATGCTAAAATGTGTGGGTGCTCAGTAAGACTCTTAATTCCAAAGATGGCCAGGAGTTTTTGTTGGCCAGTTGGACAGACCCTGAAAACTTAAGTTTGCCTATTAACCCTCATGCTTCCATGTAACCTAATCTCCACCACCCAAACCACCTAAATAGATGACCTCTAACAAGTGTGGATCACAGTACCACTCGCTCCTTATTCAAAGGACTGCATGTTTTTATGTTGATACATGCAAATACATATAAGATTCTCTACAGCCAGACATATGTTCACTTGACCTATAACATATTGGTGACCATTGAAATGCAAGTAAAGACTCTACATGTTTTTAGTTTCATAAAAAATGTTCAATGCATCTTAGGTAACAATTATATTAAAGTCAAGCTTTTCTGAGAGATTCAACTGAAGAACCAAAGTGTCACTTTAGCTAAATATTAAAAACTTTTGTGGATCATTCAGTGTTAAAAGTTTCTGCCACTGTGAACATAAAATATTAAATACTTTTGTCATGTAGTCTACTCCAAATCTTTTTGGTTAATGAGATGGGTTAAAAATAAATAAATTATGTCAATTTAAGAATTTTAGTCTTCTACATTTTGATTTTAAAACATGACTTTCTCGTCTCCAGGAGAATTACAGTGTATTGATACTAAAAATGAACAAATTCTGATGTAACCTTGAAACCAATTAGATAACAAGCCATTGTTTCTTTTTCTCCCACTATTCTCCCATCACATCACAACCAGTTTTTGAAAAGTTATTGACTCTTGAAATAAAAGTTGAGCTTAGCATTCTTACCTGGCACCCTCTTTGCCCAGTTGATCATGTGAACCAGCTCCCTGTCTGCCAGGTTCGTCAGCAAGCCCATCATCGAGGCCTCACTGAAGGGTCTTGTAGGATCGTAGTCAGAATAGACTATGGGGGGCTCAGCCTCCAACAAGGCACTAACCATCTGATCAGCTGTCAGGGACAAGGCCGGGCTGTTCTTCTTCGTATGCTTAATCAAGAGAGGGCTTGGCCAAAGGCTGGCAGCTCTCATGTCTCCAGAGGGCCCTGCTTCATTCCTGCCTTCCCCATCATCTCTCTGGCGTTTGTGTTTCAACATTCTCCCTCCTCTTCGGTCTTTCCGTATCCCTGAAAGCACAGGGGAAAAAAAACACAATGCATTTATTATTTTTCCCCATGCGAACTTTCATTCAAAAACAGTCTTCAAAGCTAATAGCCCTTTATTTTATTTAAAGAAATACTTTCAGGCACTGGTGAACTGTTAAGTGTTTAACAACTGGCTTTCCTGGAGAAAAAGAAAAAGGCTCTGACTCGTAGCATTTGCCAATGTCCATGGTGTAAATACTGCTACCATAACAAATTTCAAGCCACCTGTCTGACTTCAAGTGCCTTGCAAAACTCCTGAGAATTTAACGGTAGGTTTTTGTGAGCCAGTACAGACCAGCTCTGACACTCTGACATGTAGAGGTGCATGTGTGTGTGTAACAGATGTTACAAAAAACAGAATTATAATATTAATAATTAGTTATTCTTGAAATATGATTTAGCATCAAAGATCTCTTCTGCTATGAATATTCTTTTAATAATAAATTAAAAGGGCATTTTTAAAAGCATTTAGTAAACATCCTTATTACCTAAGTAGGCCTCTTAATTAGCGACACTGAAGAAGAATGACTTGCCCACAACATAAGTTATAGCCTCAGAACCCCGAGGTGTTCAGTGAGTCTCTCGCTTCTAGTAAGCTACACCTCATCACCTTAGGAATTGACCCAAGTCCCTCAAGAAGTTAACTTGGTTTTAAGCTTTTCACAAATGTATTTCTCTTTTCCTAATATAAAAGTTTTTAAATAGCTGAAAATAATTTCCCCCACTAAGGTAAATTATAAAATAGGGCACAGAGAAGGGATCCAATCTTTTTGCTGTGGTTCTTGGAGATTTCAGCTCAGCATCTTAGCCTGAAAAAGGTCATGCTGTGCTGCTGAAATGTATCAGCACAAACAAATATTT